GCATAGGGAATACCCATGTATAGCGAGAGTAGTCATCGATCAATGTGATAAAGTACTTATATCAACCCTCAGAGATTATAGTAGTAGGCCCCCATACATCAGAATACACAACATGAAAAGGAACAGTAGTAGGCCCCCGTACATCAGAATACACAACGTGAAAAGAAACACTTGATCTTTTATTATTTGAGTGGAAAGTTGTTCTACATTGTTTGCTCAACTGACACGTTTGACACTGGAACTCTGACACTGAACATGACTTAAATAAAACCGGAAACAAGGGCTTAAATAATTCAAAAGAAATATGACCTAACCAACTGTGCCACGAAAAAAATTTGACTCTAATTTGACTGACTATGTGACTCTGAGGATGACACTGAGAGATCAGCTTTGTTGTCGAGAATGTAGAGACCATCCACTAGGCTCACTCTACCAATCGTCCTCCCAGAAGTTAGGTCCTGAAAAACACATGAGCCAGGAAAAAAGGTTACASTACAGTTTAAAGAGCTTGTGATACTACTAATTGAAAGCAAATTTATAAGAAGTTTAGGGACATGCAATACACAATTCAGGTTAAGGCCATGGGGAAGAGATATTGATCATTGGCCTGCAATGGAGGAGAATGAGCCATCTGCAAGCCTCACTTTATTCCTTCCTGACAAAAGGCTATAAGTCTGAAACAAGTTTGGCTTACCGGTCATGTGGTTAGAAGCCCCTGAGTCAATGATCCAAGGGGAACCAGTGGGAGTGACATGGAATGCAGAAACTGTGTTACCTGATGTAGATGCAAATGAAGTAGGAGTACCAGTGACTGAGCTATCCATCTGTCGCAAAGCCCTACCATAGGACTCCAAGTGGTCTCTGAAGGAATTCATTATATCTTACTTGGGGTCAGAATTATTAAGGTGGTCCCGGGTAATACYGGCAACCTGAGTATCTTGGGTTGCCACATGTGCTGCATTATGTGCCGTGTTCATCTTCTTTTGACCTTGCCCTTTACCTTGTTCTTGGTTCTTCACTGCCCACTTGGGTTTCCCGTGAATGTCCCAACATGTGTCACGTATATGCCGTGAGCGCCGACAGTGGGTACAAAACAACTTGTCTTTATCATCAGCCTTCTTGGTGTCACTTTTCTTCCCCATGTTGTTATTACTCATTGCAGCCAAAGCAACTTGTTGCTCCCCCTCGGATGTAACCATCACACTCCGCTTACTTTCTTCCGATTGAACAAGGGACTAAACCTCGTGAACCGACGGCAACTCTTTGCTTCCTAGGATCTAAACTCTCAAGGGTTCATAGGCAGGGTTCAGTCCCAACAAGAAGTCAAACACACGCTGCTGAGAAACCAGCTTCCTGTAGGCCTTAGCATCGTCATCATGTTTCCACTCTATAGCCTGATACTAATCCAATTCTTTCCATATGGAAGTAAGGGCTGAATAATAGGAAGACAAACTACGATTTCCCTATTTACAGGTTGAGGATTCAGCTTGCAACTGGTAAACCTTGGCATAATGCCTTTGCTTAGAATAGGTAGTTTTTACCTGTTCCC